CATTCTACCTCTTCGTCTTCTAATCTTGCAGTTTCTTCATCCATTAATATTTGCTCCCAGTCATATAAGCTATTTTCCCAATCATCAGATGCTACCATTTCTAAATTGCTTTCTTTAGCATCCAAGTTATAATTTTTATCCAATTCGTTTGGATTATCTAGTTCATCTAGTTCTTGTAGTTCATGTGGCTCCTGTAGTTCATGTAGTTTGTGTACTTCATGCGAATTAGTTAGTTCAAAAGCTTAATTAAACAACAGGTAATTATTTTTTTTTTCGTTGAGAGAAGTTAAAAGAAGCACGGATTTGACTCATAGCCAAAACTTTTTTATTCTGCAATTAAAAATAATAATAATATTTTTTTTTAAAAAAAAATTAAATAAATGATACAAGTCACTCATTACAGTGAACTCTCAATATAGCGAAGACTAATTAAAATCTTGATATAGCAAAGTTAAGCTCAAAGCCAGCTATATTTGATATAGTGAATTTACTAAAAGCTCTCAAAATAGTGAAATTTAAAAAAATTTTATTAATGGAACTAATCACTTTACTATAACGAGAGTGACTTATACCTACCTTGAGTCGATTTCATCTGTTATTATGAAGAAATCCTATTAAACTCTATAATCTTTTTACGAATGCTGTGTTGATACAAATTCCAAATAACCATATAGCCAAAGATCCTAATTCTTTAACTAAGGGAGAGGTGAATTCCTAAAATTCTAACATATTATCTCCAAATTGTTCGTATATTGTACAATCAAATGGATAATTATGTTTTCTAAATTTTTCTAGTTCAAGCAGAATACAAATTAGTTGATGCCCAAACCACACTTTATAATAATAGGTGATAAACCGAGCAAGGTATGCAAAATTTAAATTTTCAGTACTTGTTTTGAACTATATATCACGGATATTAGAATTTAAAGGAAAGCTAATAGCAATAATGGCTGCTCCCATTGTTTCCACCTTTGTTCCAACCGTAAGATCATAAGTCATGATAAATTTTCTTTAGCATATTCTTCCCACATTTTTAAGATTCTGCTAAAGGCTTGCAACACTTCATAAAGATGAGTGGTATCGGATTGCAATTTGTTAAGGGCTCTACAATAAGGAATAAGTAATAAATTTAATAATTTTATTAATTGCCAAAAACTATCATGGAGCAAAATTAACGTTATATTGCGTGGGAGATAAAGCTCATCTAAATAGATTGTTGATAAGCCTAATTCATCATCAGAGTTATAAGCTGAAGTAACCAAAGGTAATTCGTGCATGGTAGCTAAGTTCTTAAAAAAAAAAAAAAAAAAAAAAAAAATTATTAGTATTAATTAATATCACTAAGCTGTTAGTTATTTCAGGTTTTGAATATCATGAATTAGATTTTTTTAAATAGAAATTTTATCCATGCATATTGTTATGATCCGTAATCCGAGATCTGAATTGATCCTTAAATCTAGGTAATTTAGCTATCTAAATCAGAGATGTTTACTTGAATTAGTCGAAGAACTTAAATAACAGATATAAGCATGTACTCAAAAGTTAGCTTTAATATATGATTTAGAACAGATTCAATTTGGATTTAATATAATCTGAATGGTCTGTCAAAAATAGGATCGAAACACTATCCTAATAGTTGGGAATTAATTTTTTCCACTAAATTACTATAGTAGTTTTGTAGATTCTTTTCCTAACTAATTACATATATATTAGATATGTTCTTGGCGAATTAATACCTACTCTTAGAGCTTGGCGAGATTTTATTAAACTTTTAAAACAATATGAGTAAGAATTCTAATGAGTATCTCTTGGACAAACTAGGGTAATATACTTTGAATATATTCATTTCTGTATATTCCGAAGTTTTCCAATAAAATATGAATGAACTGCACTATTAAAGTATGCAACTATTGTTATAGCTTGTTTAGATGCAAGTTTGAATTCATTAGATTCTTTAAAGATCTCTCCTATAGAGAGATTATATTGGTGAGCGAAGCAGGGAAGAAAGATAATTTTTGGATATTTTAAACGTAACTGACGCCTGATTAAATAAATATTAGTTTTTTTTTTTTATTTTTTCTTCCCTTTTTTTTAGTTAACAAAATATTATCTACTATTCTAATAACAGTACTTACCTTGTACCAGAATAAGCTAGAGCACTATCAGAAACAACTGCAGATAATTTGGTACCTATATTTAATATTTCATCGATAATATACTCAATTTTAAGAATAACTTCGACTATTCATTCTCGTTCTGAACTTATGTTGATTGTTTTCCAAATTAAAGATTCTTCGGTTGATAAGATAAGTAATGAACCAAATATATATTGGTTTAAAACATTTTTTCACCCATTAAATACCAAAGTAACTCCAATGTTATTGTTTTTTAATTTTTGTTTGCGGGATAAATCTAAATTTTTTTTTCAGCATTGAGGATGCAATTTGATAAAATATACTGATCAGGAAGAATAAGGTTTGGGTTTAAAAATTTATAAAACTCCTGCGTAGCTAGATCTGACATCTAGTGAAAGAACTATCCATTTGATATAGTCATCCGAAGCAAGAGCCGTTCAAACTTTGGTTTTTCTCTTTCAGTAATATTTTGAATGACAAAGTTGGCTATGGAATTCGATGATTTTTTTTGTTTGTTTTTATTAATAGACATGATAAGAGCTGGAGTGTTATTACTAGTTGTCATGTCACTCGTGCTATCATCTTAAAAAAAAAAAAAAAAAAAATTTAATAACAAATTTTAATTTTTAGGATTAAAGTTGCATACCAGATAAATCAGTGTTTCAGCGTCTTTTTGAAACTTGAGAAATACATTCTGCCTCATTATCCATCTTATTGCAGTATGTATCTACTACTTCTTGAGATCCTAGCTTAATACGAAAGTATTCACATTTTTTTAAATAGTTTCGAACAATATTTTTTTTATTAGTAATTAGCATCTTTAGAGTTTCATCCTGACCAAAAGCTTCATCGCAAGCTTTGCATACACTATAAGTATTATGCTTATTTGTAGCTTTCAGGTCAAGTACAATAATATCATTTGTGAATTGATATTTCTCAGAACTACCTGTATATCGCTTCACCATTTGTATTAAATAATTGCAGTACAAATATCTAAACTCAAGAATAGGACAATTTATTGTTGGGTAAGTATTTTAGATATATGTATTATTAATTATACTTTTATAAAAGTTACTAACAAAGGATAACCCGATTCTTAAACAAAATAATCAAATAACAAGCATGAAATTAAATTTTTATTATTCTTTTATGATAATACAAAAATTAGACAGGAAGTAGACTCATACTTTTATTGTAATTAGAGTTTTTCTTTATTAATATTATTCTTTTATTTTGT